GCCAATGCACGATGACAGGGGAAATTGTCACTACCGGCAACCAATGTGACGAGAGGTAGCGTGGACGTCTCTACTCCAGCAAAACGCCCCTCCTATTTGCTTTGCTTTCTCATCAAGCTTATTATCATTTACTCCAAGTGTCTCCTCATTCTTCACTTCTTTCTCCATCCTGCTCTTTGGCCCCTTCTTTCAATAGCTCCTTACATTCTGCTTCCTCTTGTCCCATTCCCACCACCCTCTTCCCACAGGCGTTTATCAGGAATTTCAGCTATTTCATGGATTGCGTTGGTTTCTTCCTATTCTTCTTCCTCAATATTAACCCACCTCAATGGGGGATGAAATTGAGTATTTGCTGCAATCTGATAAGCTTCATATCAGATGCTTCCATAGGGCTCTCTTCTTCCACGTAAACATCTGTCTGAACTGCTTTGTGGCACCTTCTATTTTGGCGACCTACATGTTATTGGTGTTAAAAATACACTCCTTGAGTAAGCAAGAGCACCTTGTCACATGGTCAACAAAGTGGCGATGATGTTTTGGAGCCTGCACACCTACCTGCATATATACATAGAACAGGGCTTCATTCTATCAGTAATCCTTCCTGTGATTAGCAAGGTTAGTCCAGAAGTGGTTGGCTAGTAGAAGTATCAATGGGGATGTATAAAATGAGCGGTGATTTGTGACAAAAGAGTCTCTTCACATTTTAAGGGTAGTGGTATTGTCGTCTGATGCAGGATGGATGCCCACATCTATCCGTGGTGGTGAATATTTCCTTGTAGACTCAACGACGCTGGAGGCGACACTTATGATTGTCACCACTGTTTTATCTACCCCTGAATGTTTGATCAAAGTAGTCTTGTGTATCAGCAATTCCCTGATGCTTCTATTGCATAAGCAAACATCCTCTCACAGCAGCTGTGTTGAGTGATGAGTTGCGTGTCCTTATGAAAGAGTGAAACTGTACTGTTGATGTCCGTGTTGCGTGGTATTGACTGCAAAACATGTGATGGGTCTATCGTCATGGAATTCTGAACAATTACTGACTAAATGCAGATTTGATAATGAGGTCTTGTCCAGGCATCATCGGGTGTTGTATGTAAGGCAACTCGAAGGTCTCAGTCTAGGTCGCAGTAGACACAATGGCAAGTCGCGCCAATCAAATGGCGTGGATAACGGAGGTGGTGGCGGTGAAAGCATGGCCGACCACGGGAGTGCTTATTGTGTGAGGCCAGCTACCTCCTCGACAATGACAGGGATATGGGTACGCGGTTGTGCATTCGCTATCAGTCCTGGACGAAAGCCAGTCAGCCAGTTAGTGTCCAGGTGATTTCATGCTTCTATTACACCAACTCCGTTAATACCGCACTCACCCACTATTCCTCAGTGATGTCAGGGTCCCATTAGCACAATCGCTCGTTTCCATCCTGTGGTGTTCACCTGCGACGTGACACCACTGCATCATTCATTTGATTTCACTTGACAGAAACTCTCAGAAGGAACTTATAAGCGATGGAGTGAAGTATTTCAATAAAATGTCTCTTAAATGAAAGGTCCACCCTTGTTCACCTGGATCCTACAAACGCTACACATAGAGATGCTCTATAACGCCTTAGTTAATACAAATTGTAAATCCCTTACTAAAAGCATTATATTCCCTGTGCTTTACTAACTAGCAAACACTCCCAACTAGGAAGTGCTCAAGTGCTTCATCAACATTACTTCAGCGTAGTCTCCACTCGTTTTTCAGAATTTCCTACGCTACAAAATAAACGATTTAATCTCTCCAGTCCTTTAACTCATTTAGCCAAATAATTTCATTGCATCTAGGGTATCAAGGGGGAGAATTTGTTTTAGCAAGCTTTGCATATTTCGAGATGGAATCCTAATGAATCGACAGTGACTGCATAGAAAATTGATGGCTATGCACCACTTAGATTCGGCGTTGGCGAGGCGCGAAGAGCCACAGTCAGCGCCTACAATTGGGGCCAACTCAGCGGACGAGCACGCAATCACTCCTCGTTTCGCACACCAAAGTAGCCAATGCAATAAATGTGTGGGCATTTATTTCTGTTACCTTTACATTTATCTGATTCAGTGAATTCACAATTTGTTGTGAACCAAAAAATAGGGAACTTTAGAGGAGAATTAAATGTTCTTGTATTTTTAGATGTCCATATAAAGCGCATAAATCCAGTCCACTAGATAAAGTCAAGTGATCCCTTTCTAGGAAGATATGAGGATGGCACATGTCGTGGTCAGTTTGTGTACACTGGTTGTCTAATTTCTTTCTCCTCACCGCTATAA